TTGCAACAGAGGAGAGCACAGACCCTCCCAGACAAGGATCTACAGGGCGCATTCTGGCACGCACATTAGCCACAGCATGTTAGGTTTGGAAATAATGATGACGATTACTTTTCTGGAGCCTTGAGTAAATTAAACGCCTCTGAAGTCTGAAAGGCAGAGGGACCCAGGCTACCCTGTGGTTACAGCCTAGGTGGGTGTGAGCTCCCCAGAAGAAGGCCCTCCTCTTGCCCTTCCCACAGCAGGGGCCCTGTCAGCCTGCTGCAGCTTCCTACCAGCGCCGGGCAGAGGCCTGGCCATGCTCAGGTTATTCTGCCTTCTGCCACTGCATTCGCTGAGCTCAGGATTTTGCCCTTCGCCTTCTGAATGACCCCATATGGTCACTGGCAATACCTTCACTGAAACTCTTACGGGAGTTTAAACACCAAAACTGGTTTGTTTTTGCTTTGGATGCAGGAGCCTTTCAGCAGGGAGCACCAACCCTGAGCAGCGAGTGATGTGGACACCTGTCAAGATGAACCCTGACTGAGAGCCCGAGTGACTCTGATTTCAATAACAGGCTCGTAAAGGACAACGATCATACAACCACATCACTAAAACCTTAAAATGCCTTTTATTAACATGTAAGCATAAGAAAACAGAGGGGGACTCACTCCACAGAAACGTAATACCCATTGTCCTGATGTTTTCACCCACAAACATCATGTAAAGCCTAAAAACTAGGATTTGATGTTGATCTTCAAAACAGAAGCATGGATTGAAATACAACCCCATTTCGATCAACAAACTTCAAACACAGCATGCGGCCTATAGGTGATGGTTCTACAGCCCTCACATGGGAACACCGCTGGCACGTTCATGTTTGAGAAACCACACTGTAAATCGCAATCGATTCAAACAAACAAAACAGCAGGCTTGGAAACTTTCCAGATAAGCACCTTTCAATGAACCCTTACACACTCTGAGGCGCACAACACGGTGCGAGGCAGAATTCAGAGATCAGCAAGTGTTGCAGGAAACTGCTGGACTTGGTGATGCAATGGGACACGACTCCCCACACTGTCTTGCAGCCCACCGAAATCCTGCCCCAGAAGTAAGTGCTGTGGTGGTGTGCCTCAAACAGTACTTAGCACTCAGCTGCTGCGAACAAGCGCGAGTCTTTGTGGAAGAACTGAATTACAACTGACTGGGTCAATTCCTGCTAACTGTATTGAAACCAAACATGTTACTCCGGACCACTCACATAAATTTGTCTCCTTAAAACAACAATTCACAAGGATCTGTTCCTCTACTGTTCTTTTTTTTTGTTTCTCCAAAGAATACTAGTGTAAAGTTAACTGATGCCTTAGGCAGAACTTAAGAATAACTTCCCTCTCCACCTGCACTTGATCTTGCTGGGTTAAGCAAACTGAGAAGCTACGGAAATAATACTGATTCCTGCATCACTCACATGCTTTCCTCTTCTTCACCTCACTCTTGTGTTGCATGGGTGAATTAATGTATTTTAAGATGGGTTAGCCGCAAGTACGACAGTAGAGTCACTTGGTTTCTGCCCCTTAAGAGCAAAAGAAAATACTACTACACATCACTCAAATCTTCGCTTACAGTTTGTTGTACACACTTAGCGCTAATTCACTGACAATGAGAGAACACTTTGTTCCAAGTACCAAAACTGATCTTTCTTTGAGACTACTGAGGCATTTTCTCTTCCCTGCAGGTCGTCCTATCCCTGCTTGTATCACACACCCTCTTGCTTCCAGCTGCTGTAACGAAGGGTCTCTGCGCGTTAGACCTTGGTTAGCTGTGCAAAGAGGACTACCAACACAGAAAACTACTCGCAGAGGGAAGAGTTCAACTGAGCTACAGATAGCACAAAAACTTCAGAAAGCAAGAGAGTAAAGAAAGACCACTGCGATCTTTGACCTCTTAGAGAAGAAAAAGGCATGAAAAAAAGGCGAGGAAAAAAAATCCCAAGACAATGGCAACATGAAATGAAGTATCAGGGAACAACACGAGAGCATCTCTCCCCTTATGAGCTGCGCCAATTAATGCCATTCAAGGCACTGCAGCAGTCAAATTTCAAGCTCCACTTAGCCGAATCTTCTCTGGAGCCACAAAACTACCTTCTTTCAGGAGGAAAGGCTGTAAATTTACATGTGTGACTGCTGTTCACAGGCCAGGGTCTTAGAGTGCCTATTAGAGTGGTAGCAGAAAACATAACCAGTTATGGGCATGATTTCTTTTCCATCCAGAGCACTTCCTAGTTATGAATGGATGTTTCTAAAACCTCGTCTGTGTCCAACAAAATTCAGTCACAGAGGAAATCAATGCAAAGCCCTTTTTGTTCTCTCAAGGGTGTACGATGTATAAAGATGCTAAACAGTCTCTGCAACTCCAGTGTACACGGACACCCACACATAGCAGTTCAACTAAAGCCTAAGGGCTGTGGATAACATTAAAATGCCGGTCTGGGATTTGTTTGTGCAAGACACTACAGTGAGCACCCTACAACAGGAAGGTGTGCGTGCAGGGATGACAGACCTGCTGACGGGCCGGGGAGAGCCACGTGTGTGGCCCCCTCAAGGGTGCCAGCAAGACAGACCGCAAGACAGGAGGCACAGACTGGGAGCACACTGCGGGGCACGCAGCAGGAACTGAAGTGCTCTGAACAGCAGCCAGAGCAGGGCTGGGTTTTTAAAAATAAATAAAAAAAAAAAGAAATGCTACTCTGCAACACGTAGTGCCAAGAAACAATTTGAGAGGAAAGCCACTTTGGTATCAGGAGGCCAGGAGTGTTGGCACAAATTCTGAAAGAGAGAGCCTACTACAAGAAAATTGAAAGAATGATGTTTTGGAGATCTGTTTTGCTTTTTCTCTCTTTGAAAGTTTGCCTACCAGGTGGGTTTCTGAACTTCTTATGTAAATATTTCAGCCATAATAGCTTCAGGCCCAGACTACTAAGCATTTATCTTGGAATGTGGATGGTCTTAAAACTCATTCAAACTTCACTTCACTATTTTTAATTAATTGTGTTATAGTTTTAAAGCAGCCGTTTACTTCTAGCAAACTTCAGCACTGTGTTATGTTCCATGCTCCATGGTATTCAGAAATGCACCATATAAAACCAGTCTCTTTGTGTAAATACTGCCAATTTATTCAGCAGTAATAACTGTAAAAAGCTTCAGTAGCAAATCAAAACTCATTTTATTGCAACTGTGACTCGAAACATATTTCGAGTAATCTACCATATTTGGCCAACGTTGCCCAGTTCATTCAAATTCTTGGTAAACAAAAGGTAAAGGCAAAAAGAAGACTGTTATTTTAATAAACAGTGCAATTCAGACGCTGCTTCCATTAAAAGAAAGCTTGACCTACTGGGCCCCTTAGTATAACAACCTCCACAGAGCGTACTTTAACTACAAGCTCAGGAGGGAGGACTGGGTATCCCAAGCTCAGCAAAGTGAGTTTGGTCACCGCTTTCCACTCCTGCCTAGGAAGAACACCACTTCAGACACTACCTCTCTCTGTACCTCTTCCATTTCAAATGCTCACCCTGTACTTCTGCCTGCAGTTTAGCCACAGAAACACGCAATTGCTGTTCATTAGGTGTATTTGTATAACAGCCTTGTTCATGACCAGAAATGTACAGTCTCCACAATTTAGCATGCTTTTTTTTTTTTTGTGTCGCGTTGCACTAGAACATGAACACTGTGAGTTAATTTAAATTAAAACCAGAATATTTTATATCAATGTGATTAGCTAGCCATTTTGCACAACCTAGACACACAAGGGTTTTTAAGCTTTCTCCATTTAAACCAAGTTTTAATATTTGCCTTATTTAATTCTAACATGGAAAGCAATCTCAAATCGCACGGGTCAGCTCTGTACAACCAGCTGCCTCGTGCATCCACCTTGGCCATAAAAGCCTCAGAGACCAATTTCAGTGAGGTTTCGCGCTCAGGACCTCCCCATGCACCCAAGGAGCCGCAACGCCAGCAGAAGAGGTCAGGGCAGTAACTGCACCGAGTGACTATTCCGCAAAAACGCATTTTTTCCCCGACAGCTGGATTTTTCGCTGCTGGGCCAGCCACACGGGCTCGGTCAGCGCGCGGTCTCGGAAAAGCAGGTGGCGTTAGGAGGGGATCACCCGTCCTCGCAGCGGAGCCGTGACGGGAGAGCAGGGGGAACCCGCCTGGACCCAGCATTTCAGCCTGACACCGCGAGCAGCAGCGCGGCCAGGCAAAAAAACAAAACAAAACAAAAAAAACGTTGAGAGGAGCCGTTTCTTTCCAACGGTCTGCGCTGCTGGCTGAGGGGCGCAGCACCCGGGGACCGTCACAGGGCGGCCGCAGCCACCCCCCGCAAGGCAGAGCCGTGCTCCCGCAGCCCTGCCGCTTTTTATTTATTTATTTATTTTATTTATTATTTTTTTTTATTTTCCGCCCCGCGACGAGCGCTCGCCCCCCCCGCCGCTGAAAGCCGTCCAGCAGCAGGGACCACACACAGCCCGCCCGCCCCCTTCCCCCCCTCACACACCCCCCTCCCCTCCCCTCCCCGCCCCGCGGGCGTGCGCACTCCCAAGATGGCGGAGGGGCGCCCCCTTCCTCCTCCTCCTTCCTCCTCATCCTCCTCCTCCTCCTCCTCCTCCCGCCGCCCTCCCGCACGGCGCCGAGCCCCGCAACCCGCCGCGCGGACCAGCCGCTCCCCCGGCTCTGCGCTTCGCCTCCCGTCCGACACCGACACCAACACCGTCCCCGTCCCCCCCCGCCGCGGGCGGCGAAGTGGTACCGCCGAGCGGCGGTTGTGCCGCCCCGCCAACCGCCCGCCCAACGGCCGCGCCAACCGGCGGCCGGCCCCCGGCACCGGCGGGCACGCGTCAGGGCCGGTGCCCGCCTCAGGGCCGGTGTCCGCCCGCGCCCCGGCGCCTTACCTTCCACCCACAGCTCCTCCACGTTGGTCTCGAGGTTGGCGGCCCGTAATCCGACAGCGAAGGCCCCGAAAATGAGGAGGCCGACCACCAGGAACTTGCCGCAGTTCCTCTGAATGTAGCAGCCCAGTCTAAAGAGCAGTCTCTGAAACTTGGCTCGCAGCCACAGCGGCGCCTTCCTCCCGGTCGCTCTCCCCTGCAAGGCAACAAGGAGGTCAGTCGGTACCGGGCCGCCACCGGCACCGCTCGCCACCACCCGAGCCGCCCCTCCCCCGGGCACAGCAGGGAGCCCCCGCCGGGACCGAGGCGGCCGGGCCGGCCGGGAGCAGGCAGCCGGCCCCCCACCCCCCCCGCACACAGCCCGGCCGGCTGCAGGCAGCACCCAGGCGGTGAGCAGCGCTGCGCCATCAGCAGCTCGTTCCCACAGCGTGTGCGAGCGGCAGAGGGCAGCCACATGGATCTCTCCCTTTTTATTTTTATTTTTTTTCCCTCCCCCTTTGCTCCTCTCTTCCCCCCGTTCCCCTCCTTACACAGCCCGCAGATCCGCTCCCTGCAAACGCGGCTCCCGGGGCCGCTCGCTCCCGGCGTCTTTTGGGGGCCGGCGGCCGGCTCCATCCCCGCCCGGCCCGAGCCGGCAGCCCCCCGGCCGGCGGGGGGTGGCGATGTGCTCGCGGCGCTGCCTCCCCTGCCGGCCGCGGGGGGAGGAAGGCGCTGCGCGCTGCCCCCGCCCCGGGACCCCCCTCCTCCGGGGGCAGCCCCGGCGTTGCGTGCGCTTGACAAAAGCACGGCTTCTGCCAAGAAAGCGGCCGCTCGCCCGCCTCCCCCGGTCCCGTCCCGGTGCTCGGGGCGCTGCGAGGGGACGGGGAGGAGGAGAGGGAGCGCCCCGAGAGCCCCGCTCACCGCGGGAGCAGGCACGGGCGGGGAGGCAGGAAGGGAAGGAGGGCACTCTCTCCCGCACGAACAGAGTCACAGACGTCCCTCTCTTTTTTCCCAGCATTTTATTGGTGGCTGTTGGGTTTCCATCTCCTCCTTCCACCCCCGCGGGAAAGCACGCCACCCCCTCCCCCGCCGAAAAAAAAAAAAGAAAAAAAAGTTAAAAAAAAAAAAAAAGCCAGCGCTGGCGCTCGCGCGGCGCTCCGGGGGGAAGGAAAAAAAAAAGAAAAAAAAAAAAAGGGAGAGGAGGGAAGCACCTTTGCGATCTGCTCCAGGGCGAACGCCGCATCGCAGTAGCTCGGCCGCTGCAGATACTCCCGGTCGGGCGCCGCGGCGCGCCGGCTGCCTCCGCTCCTCCGCCGCCTGCCGCCGCTCCTCGCCGCCCGGCCGGGGTGGCCGCCGCCGCCCGCGCTGCTGCTGGTCTCCGGCTCCGAGGCGTTAGCGGCCGAGGCCATGTTGCCGCCGCCGCCGCCGGCGGGACGGGGGAGCTGCCGCTGGCGCTGCCGCGGCGAGGCCCGGGGGGCCGGGGGCGCGGCGGTGGCCCGCGGGGCGCGGCGGGGGCCGCGGGGCGCGGCGGGGGCGCAGGGGGCTGGCGGCGCTGCGGGCCGCGGGCTGCTGCTGCTGCGGGGGCTGCCGCGGCTGCGGCTGCGGCTCCGGCTGCTGCTGCTGCGGCTGCTGCTGGGGCTGCTGCGGCGCGGCCGCCTCACGCGGGGCGCGGGGCGGCGGCTGCCGCCGCGGCCGCTCCGGCCGAGTCGCTCCCCGCGCCTCCCATTGCCACATCGCACCCCGAGGTGCCGGCGGCCGCTCCCCGCGCCCAGCGAGGTGGGACGGGCGGGCGGGCGCGACCCCCGGCCCCCCCCGGCTGCCGCCGCCGCCGCCGCGCTGTGCTCGGCTCCCGTGGAAATCGCCTCCTCCGGCCGCCGCTGCCTCCCTCCGGGGAGCCGCTGTCCGCGGCGGCGCTCAGCGGCGGCGGCGCGGCGGCGTTGCGGCGGGCCGCGGCGGCTGCTGCTGCTGCTGCTGCTGCTGCGCTGCCCGGCCGCGCTGCACCATCCTGCCTCAGCGCCGGGCTGCTTCCCGCGGGCCGCGGGGCCGGCGGGGCTCCGCGCTCGGCCCCGCCGCGGCGGCGGGCGGGCGGCTGCCTGGCGCTCTCCCCCGGCGTGTGCGCGGCAGCGGCGAGCTGCAGCCCCTCGGCTCAAGAGATGAGATGAAGAAGAAAAAAAGGACTCTCTCCATTTGGATAAAGAGGAGGAGGGGTGGGAGGGGGGGGAGTAAGAGAGGAGAGAGAGCGAGAGAGGGAGAGGGAGAAAAAAAAAAAGAGCTGAAAGCCCGCCCCTGGGGCTGTCAGATGGCTTGGGTTTCTGCGAGGCGATTGGCTCGGGGAGGGCAGAAATTACTCAGCAAACATGACTATTATTAGCTGCTTAGCAACAGCTCACCAAAGTAGAGAGACCACCCAGGCAGGCAACCCTTGTGTGTGCATCTCCAGCTTCAGGGGGAGCCTTAAAGAGATCCAGCCTTCTTTGCATGCAATACTTCCATTAAGGAATGCCTCCCCCACACCGCCTCCCCCCCCTTTCTTCTTCGTTTTCTTTTCAAGAAAGTTTTTTTTTTTCTTTTTCTCTTCTCTTCCCCCCCCCCTTTTTTTTTTTTTTCGGCCGGGATGCTTGCAGACAAATGCACGCCGCAGAACTTTCTCGCGATCGACACGCAGAAATATATATTATTTTTTTTTCCCTCTCTTTTAAAAAACAGAGGGAAACGGGGGGAAAGTAGCATTAAACGATTTCTAAAGCCCTTAAAAGAAAATCCTTTTAGAGGCACCTTGGCCTCAAGCTGCAACAAATACTGGGAGGTCCGAGCTGAATTCCCAGGCTTGCAGAAATAATGACAGGGTGGTGGATACTGCGGTGGAAAGTGCCAGATTTTTCTCCCTCTCTCTTTCTTTTTTAACTAAAGAGGAGACTCGCTTCCATGCAAGAAAACCACTCCGTCCAGTTAGAAAAACACAATGAAAACTTAACACTTGAGGGATTTAAAGCCGCGCGGTAGCCAGCCTGTTTCAACTTAGGGCTCATTCTTTAACTGAAACCTGAGGAAAGCCACTTTTAATATGTTTTTAGTGTAAAAATCCATGAAGCGCAGGCTGCCTGGCCGCGCTAAACACTTCTCGCACTATACGTGATTGTTTACTTTTTTGGCACGGCTGCTCGCCGTCTCCGCTCATTGAGGACCAGCCATTAATTGCGGCCGCTACAGCTGCGCGCCTCCCCCGCCGGCTGCGGAGGGGCTCCGCGCCCCGGCGCGCTCGCTGGGGACGGGGGCTTAAAAAGTGGGATAAAAAGAGAAAAAAGGCCCCTGCCGAGCCTCCGTGGGCAAACCGGCGGGGACACGGCCGGCCCCGGGCGATGCTGTGGCCTTTCCCCCCCGCGTCCCCGCAGCCACCTGGTGGCCGCGGGCGGCGCGTCCTGCCCCGTGGGGCTGTGCCCTGCGTGGGGCTGTGCCCTGCGTGGGGCTGCCCGCAGCGGGGCTGCCCGCAGCACATGTGGGCGCGCAGCTGCGGGAGGGGGAAGCCCACGGGGCTGGAGGCGGCTTTCTGCTGGGGGCTGCAGCCCACACCTGGGAGGGAGGGAGAGAGAGAGAGAGAGAGAGGGAGGGAGGGAGGGAAGGAGGAAGGGAGGGAGGGAAGGAAGGAGGCAGGCAGGCAGCCGCCTCTAACTCAAGTTTCAGCCGTGCATCGCGCTGGGAGCCGACGTGCCACCAGGTCTGAGCGGGGCTGGGGGCGCGGAAGGAAGGGGCCGGGGGAGAGAGAGGCGTTTGGCTGCAGCCTCCCAAGCCCGGGAGGACTGCCCCGTCCCTGCAAGCACCTCCAGCCCCCGGGGCTGCCCCCCGCCTCCTGCCTGCTCGGCTCTGCGCAGCAGCCCGGTGACCTCCGGTCCTCGCTCCTGCTCCCAGAACCCAATCTGAGGACTCAAATTTAACAAGCGCTATCTTAATCTCCCCTCTCTCCCTGTGGTCTGGAGGGATTTTTTTTTTTTTTTTAAAGCATACACAAGAGATGAATTACTGCAGGGATCTAATTGGCCTTGTTTCTGTGTGTGTGTTTTTTCTTTCTTTTTTTTTTTTTTTCCTCAAGGAAGAAGTGTCAGTGTAAAAGTCTCCACTTGGGTGGTCAGAGCAGTGGCTGCCCCCACTTTGCCTCATCGCTGATGCCTGCGTGCTACATTCCCAGCGATAATGTTGTTCCTAATCAATCTGCCCTTATTTACATTTGTAAGCACTGCTGGCTGTGATATGCATGGGCCTTGTGTGCAACTGCTCCTCCACACCAAGGGCTGCTTCTGCCTTCAGCAGCTCGCCTGGGACCTGCAGATGTCTTATCTCGGACTTGCCCTGTGGGGAAGGTGTCCCCGCGGGTGGAGTGGCTGCAGTCTGCAATCTGACTGAAATACGCCTGGTCTCCCCTGCTCCTGGACCGCCAGGGCTGGCACGCAAGAATCCCGGGGCTTCATTTTACAAGGCTTTGCCTCTTGCTTGGGTCACCTTCGTGCCCACCGCAACCCCAGACACCGCACAGCTCCACGCTCCCCGCAGCCACGCGAGGGACCAGCCCCGGCAGGGTGTGCAGCGCCGTGACCCTGCTTTACTGTCACGCGTCTCTGCAGGTTGCCCATCACCTGCGGACCGCAGCAGCGCCGGGGTGCGGGGCCTGCCCTTCCCCTCACCCCACCCCACGGGGGGGCTGCGGAGCCCACCCGCGGGGCGCTGCCTTGGCGTGTCCCCCCGGCCCCGCCACCGCGCAGGGGCACGGAGGCGGCGGCACGGAGCCGGCCCGCTCCCCCTCCTCAGCCCGGCAAGCAAAGGGAGCTGCTCGAGCCAGCTTGTCAAAATAATGCGGCTAATTACCCCTGATCTCCTTTAATGGAGAGCCGCTCTGCACGCCGCAAAGGAGCAAATGAGGGATCTACAGCGCCGGCCCGGCAGAGCGGGCGTTTCTCCCCGCGGAGGGCTGCGGGAGATGCGCCTCCCGCGGCCGCCGGCCCTCCGCGCTGCCCCGCCGGGGCCCCGGGAGCTGCGGAGGGCGGCGGCCGCAGCTGCAGCCCCGTCCCCGCCGGGAGACACCCGGCGGGCATCCCGGCTGCAGCAGAGCTTGTCCTGCCCGGCGAGGGGCTTTAGCCTTATAAACCCAAGTCGTCTTCAAAACAGATTTTTTTTTTTTTTTTTTTTTTCCTTCTGGCACGGTGCCCTGCCACTTGCAGGACTTTAATGCGCACGCAGGGGGGAAAGTTACACTGAACAGTTTTTAGCCAGCCCGGACAACACCGAGCCTGTGTAGCGATATAGCTCAAGTCTTGCATTTGGCAGAGGGCAGGGCATTCATTTTCATGATCTCTGCCATCGGGTCTCGCAGAAAAAAAGCTGAGCGACACGATCTCTTTGACCCACTGCTGGAGCAACAAATTTATTAGAGATATAGGCGTGAGAAATGAAAAGGAAGTAAAACAATTCAGGCTCATTGTATGTCTTTCTTTCATACTGCTAATCCGGTTTACACATCACGCCTACATGTCTCAATAGGGCTTTATACACTGTGGCAAAGGCAGAAGAAAATAAAAGGTGTGTGTGTGTGAGTGCGTGCGTGTGTGTGCATGTGTGTGTGAAATAAGGATAAAAACAGAGAAGCCCGAGACGTTTTAATTCAGAGTCAGCTGCCGGTTTTATATCTACCGGCTCTTGAAAGCAAATAGATTTTAAAGGATTCCTCCTTCCCCCCCTCCCTCCTCAGCCCTAGCAGCGTGTCCGCAGGCACAGTGTCGGGTGATAATCCTGCCCCGCCGCGGCTGTAGCGCGGCCCCGGCCAGACACCAGGTACACCCACCGGGCCGGTGCCCAAGCGACGCGAGAGACCCCCGGGCCACAAGCCCCACGCCGGCTGGCCGGGAGCCGGCACAGACCCACCTTGGCTCAGGCGTGCCCCTTAGCACCAGCCCCCTCCTCGCTCGGCCCCCCGCCGGGGGGAGGCATGTCGGCGAGCATCCTTCCCCCCAGCCCCGGCACACGGCGGGCAGGGCCGGTCCCCGCGGCGCAGCGCCCGCACAGGGCTGCCCGGTGCCCGCAGAGGTACCGCTGCCTCCGGCGGGGCCGCCCGGCAGCATCGCCGCCGTGCCGCACGGCCTGGCCCCGGGGGGGGCTGGATGCTGCAGCGCGGCAGGTTGGCGGCGCCGCCGCTCGCACAGGTGCAGGGGATGCGGGTGCCGAGCACAGACCCCCGCGGGGACGCTGGAAGGCACCGCGGGGACGGCGCTTCCCCGGGGGGGGGCTCTTCCGACGGGCGCAGCCGCTGGGGGACACACAGCGGGGACACGACGCCGAGCCCCCCCCCCCGCTGCCGGGCAGGACGGGAGCCACGGCCCCGCACGGCCCCGCACGGCCCCCGCCGCCCCCCGGCCCCGCACGGCTCCGCCCGCCCCCTCCGCCCGGCCCCGGGCCCTCCGCCGCGGGGGTCCGCGCAGCGCCCCCGGCACCGCCCCAGCCCCCGGCCCCCGGCCCCCGGCCCCTGCCCCCGGCCCCGGGGTCGCCCCGGCACCTACCATCGCTGCCCGTGCGCCGCCGGAGGGCCGGTGCCGCCTCGCTCAGCGCCGCTGGCGGCTGTCGTGGGGCATCAGCCTCCTCGTCCTCGGCCCCCCTCGCGTCCGCTCGGCTCGCTGCTCCCGATCCCTCTTCTTTTCCCTTTTGTTTCTTTTTTCTTTTTTCTTCCTCTCCCTTTTCTTTCCTCCTCTCTTTCTTTATATTTTTTATCTTTCTTTCCCACTCTCTCTCTTTCTTTCTCTTTTCCTTGCTTCCTTCCTTCCTCGTTTCCTTCCTTCCTTCCTCCCTTCCTTCCTCTCTTCCTTGCTTCCTTCCTCCTTTCCTCCTTTCTTTCCCTCCCTCTCTTCTTCTTCTCCTCCTCCTCTTCCTTCTTCTTCTTCTCCTTTTTTTTTTTTTTACCCCAAAGGAACCGAAAGTGTAAAAAAAATAACCCTCCTAGGTTGCAGGCATTCTGCAGAGTGCTGGAAAGGCTCACAATTACATGCCTGTTTCTATTAAGCAGCTCCATCGTCCTCCATGTGGGTGGTCTGGCTCTCAATAGGCAGGACCTGTCAGGGTCACGTGACGAGCCCGCAAACTTTACCCCTTTACAATAAACTCCGGGAAAAAAGCAAAGGAAGCGGGAGCCCCGTGCCGACCGCCCGGACCCGGACCCGCTGCCCCCCGGCACAGCGCCCGGGTCTCCCCCCTCGGCCCCCCGGAGGATGGGGAGCAGGGAAGGTGCCCGCCGGTGGGGCGCAGTCTGCCTGCCAAATGTGCCAAAATCTGGGCGAGCAGAGGGGCGCCGAGATTCCTCCCGGCGGCTCAGCACCCCGCGCTGCCCCCGACGGAGCGCGTTTGTGCCCGAGGTGTTGGTGCCCGTCCTGCTCGGCGGTGCTAGAGGTCACTAGAAAGTCAGCTTTCAGGTGGCGGAGCAAGGCAAAGCGAGGAAACCAGCTCCTGTGAACAAAACCTGAGCGCTGCTGTCACTGGGAAGGAGCAGTGTTTTTTTTTGTTGTTCTTGTTTGTTTCCTTTTGCACCATCTTCTTGGATAGTTCCTAGCAGGAAACAAACTGCGCAGAAATTTGCTACCACCGTTTCAAGGTCTTGCAGTGGCTGAGTATCATTGCAGGATCTGGGAAAAGTGACTTCAGGAGTTGCTCCTGGATTAGCACACGTTGCAAGGAACAAGTGATGTGTCTTGGAAGACATGTCGCTAATTGCTCATGGAAGATCCTTTTATTCCAGTCAGTCACGCTTGATTCGCTGTCAGATCTGCAATATCTACAAAGTATTTTGAGAATAAAGTACATTCCGTATTGCTGTAGTCTTGTGACCAAGTTGCCCAGAGACTTCTGTTTGTGTTATGTTTAGAAAACATACTTCATGATTAGGTTCAGTGATTTCATGGCCTTTTTTTTTTTTTTTTTTTCCTATATATTTTTAAGCCATGTTTTATTTATATTACTCCTATTACTGAATTCCAGTAGCAGGGAATAATGCGTATCTTAGGGTTATATGTTTGCTTTCAAGAATGGAAAAACTCTATAAGAAGAAATGTTAGGGAACATCTCATGATCAGATTGCATTATACAGCCAAACTCCATTCTTATCTACATAAAGCCAGGCTAGACAACAAAATAATGAACAAGAAGGATATTTTGCCTGCAAAACCGATATTATTCTTACATGACAGAGGGGCTTGTGTCAATGATAAAGAGTTGGAAGAGCATGGGAAAAGACATTTTACAGGATTTTTAAAGAGTGCATGAAAAACATACATCACTTTTTATGGCCTCACTGATCAATCACAGAGTTAGATACTTAGGCAAGAGACAGACAGCAGGGATACAGGGTGCATAGATGTCATGGTTGTAATCCTTCAGTCTGTCCTCCCACCCAATACATTCAACCTTGACAATTTTTCCAGAGAAACTCATCATAACTCCTGATAATGAGTTCCAGTGCTTTCAGGCTCTGCATATCGGGCAGGATAAGCCTCTGCAGTGCCTCGCTTAGCTATGCCATGTAGCCACAGAGCTGTTCTTTGAACAGGTGGGAGGCAGAAGAGCAGAACAGCCCCATAAAGAATCAGCAGCTGCCCTGCTAGGGAAGGGAAGGGGGGTGAAGTAACACAATGTGCGAGTACACGGTTTTAGAAAGAGGCATGAGGTATGGACAAAGGATGAAAACAAAACAAAACAAACAAAGACAGAAAACATAAAAGAAGTGGGATGTTAGTGTGAGCTAGGAAACGTCAGGGAAGATAACCTGAGAAATATGTTATAAGCCTCCTCACTTGTTCGTCACCAGAAGTACATCTGTGGTAAATACCATAGCTTTCATTGCCTCTTCCATTTGTCAGCCCAGTTGCTGCAGTTTCTTCTTTCCTTCCCAGCAAACCTGAGTCTTCTGCACCCCATGGCAATGAAATTCCTAATGTGTTCAGAAAAAGTAACTTAATCAGACATTAACAGTCCAGACATGATAGAAAGGAAACTAAAAAAAATTAAACATGGATGGGCATCACCCAGAGTTTGTCAGAGCAAGCCAGAGGTGATGGTGGCAATTTCTTCATTCTCTCGTGCAACAATTTAAGCAAATATGTAAATACAAGTGGTTATATATAGCTGGAAGATTAAAGCAGGAAATAATTATTTTATAACCATCCTGTTTTCTATACTATTTCCATAAACACCTCCTCCTAGACTCTGTTGGAGGCAATATGCTGGTCAAGCTGGGCTTTGCAAAACAAACTGTTTTTATTTATGGTCTTACATAGCAAATTGTTTGATATTTTGTCCATATCTTCACTAAAATCTTCTTTACTTATAGCAGTTATTACTAAGTGGCAAGTAGCCATTTGTGTCTGCACATAGATCCAGTTACTACACAGCCTGTACTCTCAACAGGAGCAATGATTATAATCCATTGACAATAACATTTGAAAATGGTGGGGAACAAAATTAATAGCCTGGCAAACATGAACAATCACGCTGTCCCGAATAAGTGCAAGTGACTGCGGGAGTTCCCATTTGCAGATTAATTGTAAGAAGGTGGTTACTCAAGCGTGAAAGCTCAGAGGCTTCTGGTAGATGGTTTCCAAACCTCACACAGCTGCCTAGCACAGACAGGTAACCCCACAGTGGCCAGTGCTGCAGCATCTACTCTACCAACAATCACAAACAATAATCTGGAAGTTCACTCTGACTGGATCTCAGTGTTTCACAAGGGAATGGAAGGAAGAAGTGAGAAAATTAACCTGACTTTCCTAAGGTTTTGCTGCTTAAAAAAAGACATCGTCTCTGTAAGTGGCACCATGCTGCAGGATCTTAACCTTTTTTTATTCCTAGTAACTTCTGTGTTAAAAAAGACTGAATTTCAAGCCTGTTCTGTACTTTCTTTCACTTCTGAATGTGTTAAGCTCAAGCTGTTTTGGTTGTAACTACTGACAGCACTGCCAAGAAAAACATTTTCAACATGTGACAATGCCATGGTGTCAGTGGCTCTGTGTCACACCTCCCTTGGGGGACACAGCTAAGGCAGAGGCCTGGCTAATACTGAGAGGGCTGTCTCCTAGCCTAGCTATAGTCATGGCAGTCTCATGTCTGGATGAGTGAATCTGGTACCAAGTACCTGCTGATCTGATGCTGTAATGAAGTGAGTTTCCAACAATCTTTTTATTAGAAGAGTCCCTTATTAACTCAGTGCTGACCCTCACTATCAAGAAAATGAGTGTGGAGTCCTCATCACCCACTACTGTTAAAGTTCTGTGGTTTTCAGCCTTGTGTTCAGCTCTGGAGCGGAAAAAGGAGAAAGATGAGGTGGAAGAAGAAGGTATTGACTGCTTTGATTTAATTTATTATACAGAGAAAGAACAGCTGAAGTTATACATTTGTTAGCACTTTGGTAAGGTACCATGAGTATGTTAAATCACAGATGGTGATTTAAGGAAGAAATGTTCAAACCAAAAGAAAACTTTCAGGAAAACCCACTAGAAGTCTTAGATCCAGCTATGTCATCTGGTCCATCATCCTTTCTAAGACAGGATTGGTCCATATGACATTCCTGGAAGAACAGAGTAGCTAGGAAGTTTTAACCAAGGTCAGACCCAAATGTCCTTTTCTATAGCTTAGACTTGTCTTCTTTACAGTGAACATAAAGTTTATTTTCTTTCTGTTTACACTAGAATAAGTAAATAACAAAGAAAAACAACAAAAACCCTAAAGCAAGCCAAAAACCTGTCCATGGTTTTCCTTAGTTGTGAGTCTCTAGACATTTCATTTAACCTTTCCCCAGAAGCATATTTTCTGAATCTCTAATCA